GCGCGAAAGTATTGACACAGATGTAAAATAGGTATTTTGTCATTTAGAATTTGTAGACGGAATATCTTGAGTTTAGTGATAGTTTGCAATTGAATACGTGACTGTTTAGGGAAAGAGATTTTTTACTGACTCGAACTGCTGGAGGAAGAAAAAGGGTTTGCATCATTTGCTTGTGAAACGTTCTTTTTTTATCAAATGGAGAACACCATCCTCATTTCGAGCGAGAATTGATTTTCCTTTAGGTATGGCAGAGTTAGTTTTTCAAACTTAATTCAGGTTGTTGGAAGAGAAGTGGTGTTTGCTCATTCACATCAATTGAGATTTGCTGAAATATTCTTCTTAATGGATACACCATTATTGAACTTTATCTTGAGTTGAGTCTTTACATAAACAATTAAGAAGAGAACATAAGAAAGGGTTCATAGAACTAAGAAACCAAATGATCTCAACTCTGTAAAATGGATGATTTGAATTCCTTCATTTACAATTCTAACTGATGATTAAATAGGAATATTAGCAATGGAAAAGCTGCCTGGGTTGCCCACTGAGCATTCCTGGAATAGCTGCAAGCTCGCTTATCACAACTTCACTAATCAAATCCTTGAAGATTAGCCTCTCAATGTCTAACACTAACCCCGGTGTCTCTCCTTCAATATCCTTCCAGTTCATGCCTTGGCTTTGCAGGTCCTCCCAAATCAGGTCTTCATCGTCCTCATCCAAGATACAGTTTGAGTCATCTTGTAATCGATCGATCTCTGAACACAGAATTTGTAGAAGTTCCTTCCCTTTCGAACTTTTGTCGGTTGTCCTTAGCGGGCTGATCGATGATATTATGGATGTTTGCTTGGTACACCCTTCTGCAGCGAATCTGCGAGCTAAGATCTCGTTGATGGTGTCAAATACGAGCTTCCTCCTGATTCTATCTATCAGGTTTGTCGTCTGTTGTTGTCCGAATCCTCTGCTGTTGTGTTTGTTGTCTTGTTGAGTCACATTGCTTGTCTTGTTCTGTTCCAGGACAAAGAAAAGGCTCGGATTGATCGGCAGGTGTGCTTGGTGCAGCTGAATGCTCATCATACTGTAGTCTATATCTCTTAGAAGCCCTGATGCCAAAAGTATCTCTGAGATGTACTTGTGGTCGCCATTTTTTAATTCAACACCTTCTTCCATGTAACCCTCGTTATGATCAGGTTGCTTAAGGCTCACGTTACTCTCAGGCCACACGATTGATCTACATAAGTTGCTGTGCTTGTTCATCCACTGGGGCTCTTCAGAACTTGAAAGATTGTCGTCTGTGAGAAGACAAATAATAAAGGTGAGAACTTTAAACAAATCCAAACTTGCAATTTAATTTGGATATATTGTGGATAAATGTAACGAGTTTGATATCAATGAACTTGTAGTCTGATTGAATCTATCATATTTAATCTGGTATCATTGTGATTTTTTTTACTTTCTCAGTGACTCACCTTTAAAGACTATGGATATCTTCCTCACAGGGGATGGTGACTCATCTTCGTCAAAGGCTACATCAAGAACTGAAACCGGGCTGGGCTGCTCCACCGTAACTTTCAGAGGTTTTGGCAACAACTTCATTCCCAAGTCTGGGCTCTGCGTTGATAAACAAATGCATTCAGTGAAACGAATACTAGTGAATAATTTGAGGAGTGAATTTGCAATAGGAGAGAAGATTTATACCCTTTGTTTCGGGGTGTACTGCTCCGTGATGTCACTGTTCCTCTCAGACCTATACCTGCTTGTAACCTCAATGTCAAGGTTGGAGGCCAAGCTTACGTTGCTGTCAGATCTAAGACTTCTCAAGTCACTGCTTTCATCGCTTAATCGGTCTTCAGATTGCTGCAGGCCGCGAGATTTACTCCCTGTTTTTTTTCTCGGGAAGGCTGACTCTGTCTGTTGCCTACTGAGTTGTTGTCTTTGGATCTTGTTTGGTTCTCGTTTTGGAGACGTTGGTCGAGACTGCTTCTCGAAACCAAGCTTCTTTGGCTGTGTTCTTGGGCTGACACTCGGCATCTGGCTCTTGCCTGACTTGGCCATGTCGCTTTTCTGTTGTAATTGTCTGGTAATAGTATTTTTCGTTGCAGAATCTGTCTGGCCCTTGTAGAACCCCGGCCTCGGGGTCACATCCATGGCGCTCTGCTTCCTCGGAATGACTTTCTGCTTTTGCCTCAAGTTTCCAACCTTGACATTTGGTAAAGCAACATTACGCGGCGAGAAGGCCGACCCAGAATTGCCTGTCTCTTTGAAGACTGGAGCCGTCGCTGCTTTCATAACCACGATAGAGGAAGACCTGAAATTCTTGGACGATGGGCTTGTTGTTGCAAATGGAATTGGCTGATCAGCTCTCTGCATAAAAGTGGTTGAACTCAGAGTATTGTTGTCATCGTCTTTGCTTGTCAACTGGTGCGTCTTCTCCATTGCTTCGAGTATTTGCTTTAGAGCTCTGAGATCTTTCTCGGACTTTTTGAACTCTAGCTGTGAAAGCCGCTTCTGTATCTCACCATAAACCGTCAGCGTAGTAGCAGCATCAGCTGCTTTGACTTGGTTCTTGGTAACATCCACTTGCGTCCATGGAGCTGCTTTCGTAGGAAATTTCTTGATTGAATCAGAACTTCTTGATCTTTGTAGATCTGCTTCCACTCGGAAAGGTGGCCTTGGGGAGTCGCAGAAGCGGTTCTCTCTGCTCTGATCAGTCACAGACTCATCTGGAATGACCTCAAGACCCATCAGTTTGGCAACGACACTTGATGTTGTTCTTCTGTGACCCGTTACAAGCTCTTGCGGCTCTGGTGAACAAGTAGATCTTGCGCTCCTAAAGGAATTCGATCTACTGTCTAATGACAACCTTGGTGTCTCTTTCAACTTGGTGCCTTTCTTCCTCGTCTCCCTCTCATCATAAGAGAACCGAGGACTGTCTTTTAGCATCACTACTCTCCGTCCCTCGTTCCATTCGTTAGAATTCCGAGATGGTGATGATTCTTTGAGAAGAGATACATTAGCTCTGGTTGATTTAGGCTGCTGTTGAGACAAGCCTTCTTCATCTCTGGTTCTTGTCTCCTTATGAATGGAGCTTCTCACAAACTCCCTTAAATCACTCGGCATCATCAACCCACCCCACCTTGGCGACCCGTTGATCGGTTCTCTTACCGGATTCTCACCATTATTGGTTTGAACCAAGCCGGGTTGTTCAAACTGAGAAGTTGTTGTGCTGATATCTGCAGATGAGAAGCTCGAGGAGCATGGTGAAGAAGAAAATGATAGCCTTGAAGACGATTCAGAGGAGACTCCTCTCTGTTTCTCCTTTGCAGCCTTATTCTTCCTACTCTTCTCCTACAATTCAAGTAAAAAATTCACTTTAATATCCATTTTCTTCTTGAAAAAAATTATAATTTCTCAACTGGTTATAGATTCTTACCGTTTCCTTTTTGTCCGTTGAAATGTTGGTATCACCGACATTGTCACCTGTTTTGCCTGCAATTTTTTAACCAATACAAAGTTGCATAGATAAGTATATAGAATTAGAGACTATGACCCTCTAAAGACAAGTCATGTTACTAGAGGTTTGGTTTCTTTCATCTTTTTGTGGTCCTCAACCTTAGATTTAGGATCTTAGTCAGAAACTAGAATACAAAAACAATGTCATATGTTGAAGAACAACTTTACTGTGAAAACTTTTTCTTTCAGGTTCTTCTAATGGAAGCAATGACTAATGAGAGAAGAACAAAATGTTTGTTACCTGAAGGCAGAGACTTGAGCTCATCTCCGGCGACTGCAACACGTCTCGCTGGATAATGTTGCCGGTAAAACACATGAAAGATCCCATTCATACAACCAATCTGTTTATTCAGATTTGGATTCTCATCTGACAAGTTATACAAAAGCTTCGCCGACA